GCCGGTTGGAGGCGCTAGGTCATGGAGTAGCAGTGCTCGAGCGCTGGGAGCGTGCTCCGGAGCTCAGGGATCTCGTCGCAGCTGAAGCCGAAGCCCAGGTCAACGCATCCCTTGAGCTTCTCCAGGTCGTCGTCCGTGAGGCTCCTGGACCTCCCCACCACGTCGTCTCCACCCGCGAGTACGACGGGTTTTGGGTCCCACCGCCCTAGCCACGCCGCCTCCCACTGTGCCCCACGCCACATGTCCTCCGCCTCAGGCTCGTCGACCGACTCGACGGCCACGGCCATGGCGCTGCGTCAGGGTGGTGGGTGGCGGCGGCGGCCGGCCAGCGTAGGTACCAGGACGCCAAGGTGGCGGCGGCGGGCGTCTGGCCCGTGCGCCGGGGTGGAGGCGGCGGATTTTCGGCGGCCAGGCGGCGGGGCGCCGGGTGACGTCGGGCGGGCGGTGACGGCGGCGGGCGTCATGAAGACAGGTGGGCGGCGGTGGTGGAGGCGGCGTGTTGGTGGGGAGCAGGAGTGAGGTTTCCAGGCCGAGGGTGACTTCGGGTTTAGAACTGACGGCGTGGGGGGCGAGCGCGGGCGAGGGCACGAGGCGTCATGGCGAGGGTTGGGGGGACTCGCGGGATCGCATTGGAGGAGGTCCCACCTGCCGGCACCGTGGGATCGTAGGTGTGGGCAGAGGGACGAACCAAAACAAATGTCGTACCAAAAGATATCCACGTTTTGTTCTTTTTAGTTGTAGGAGATGTATTTGGTATTGGTACAATAGTTGCTCCTGCTTTCCAAGATGCATACAGGGGCTAATGGAGAGGCTCACTTGTACGTGGCCGATAATACAAGACCAATTACAAGATATACATATATCCAACTCCTGGACTGTGGGTATGTATTAATATGATACACGCAGCAACTCATGATGTGCCTAGATAGTCCTCCAAATGAAAGTTAAACAGATCGTGGAGCAACCAAGCTTGTCACAGCTAGCTGCTCTATCTTCCATGAAACGATCATTCAGAAAACTATGACACACTCCCTTTATTTTTGTATTATAGATTTCTTCACACCAAACCACAATATAAAGATGCGCCGATCGAGGATAATGTGTCTTAAGGATAGATCTCCAGGACACCACGAGCTCCAAAGTTCTTGAGCACCTTATAGTCACTGAACCCTGCTTTCAGGATGAGGTCACGCCAGTCATTCATGTCCCGCTGCCGGCCTCCTTTCATTAGCATCATGCAGACGTCCATTAGGAGTTGAGTTTCATACATTACTGGTCCTGAGGCAGGGTCAAGAATAATGTCTCCGATGACAACTTTCCCTCCCTCTTCCCGTGAAGGTATTGCCTTCTTGCAATTGGCAAGGATCTTCACGCAGTCCTCATCACTCCAGTGGTGCAGCACCATCTTCCATGGAAATTGAAGTCTCAATGATATTAGTCGAGCTCACAAAAATTGTACAAGAAGTTCAGTTCATCAAATAGAGTACATCACAGATAAGATAACATGCAACATAAATGTGAATTGTTATATACCTTAAGTATCACCATTTGAGCAGGTGGGATGGACTTGAACATGTCACCTCCAACATAATTGACGACACCATCAGCCGGTATCTTGAGAATCTCCTGTGGAAGATCTAGCACAGTGACCTTGATCTGTGGGAAGGCCTTGGCGAGGGCCCTCCCTGTCGTGCCATCCCCATGGTAACAACAGTCAGTCAGTGACTTTACACCCTGGAAAATGTCCTGGTAGTCCCGCACGCCAATGTTGGTTCCAAAGTTGTCGTGGACCAACAAACCCAGTATTGACATCTTGTGGAACTCGGGATCCTTGTGCTCCATGCTCTTCTCGAACAGCGATGCTCCGTGCTTGTGATCGAAAGGAGGTGTCTTGGCTTCCTTCTTGAACCAGTCAGCTAGGTCTATTGCCAAGTCAATATAGTGAGGTGATGTCACTGTCAGCAGGAAAGGTGCATGGTCCATGTGGATACTGTCGGCAGCGATGCCGTCCACCAGGATGTATGACAGTGGTGTGAGGGAGTAGACAGCTTCAGTGGACTCAACCACGGCGAAGACGCCCAACGAGGCCAGCAGCCTCATGAGGCGGCCAAGGAAAGGTAGCTTAGGCTGGGGGAGTGACAGTGCGGCGATCAGGTCGGCAAGCGAGGCAGCACCGCCGAGGCGGTAGATGGCAGTGGGTATGCCGAGCTCAGCAGCGCACTTGAGCGCCATGGATTTGAGGTAGCACAGGCTGTTTCGCCATAGATCGGCCTGTGCCTGCAGCAGCTCGGCGTCGGTGGGGACTACAATGGATGAGGCCTGAGCTGCCATTGTATGCTCCTCAATGGATCCTTTTTGTGTTGTTTTCTGTGCTCTGGTTAGATGCCTGGGTCGTGCATTCTTGGCTACGGTTTATATAGTGTGTTTCTTACCTACTGTTTGTTGAGAAGATGTTCATGATTGTGGCCTTAGCTAGCTATCCTCCGTCCACATGGACCACGAGGAGAGAGACGTATGTGTACGGACATCTCGATTCAGCGATCTAAGGCCGTGTTATTTGGCGAAATTTGGGAATTTGGTTACCGTAGCACTTTTGTTTTTATTTAGTAATTAGTGTTCAATCATGAACTAATTAGGCTCAAAACGTTCGTCTCGCGATTTCCAACTCAACTGTGCAATTAGTTTTTTTTTGTCTACATTTAATGCTCCATACACGATTACTGAAGATTCGATGTGATGGCTACTGTAGTATTTTTTAGAAAACTTTTTTGAACTAAATGATAGTGCCCGTACTCATGTATCTAGGCCGCGTGTTTCACATGGACATAGACACAACACCAACCAAACCAAGAAACGTACTACACATCTAGTAAGAAAATTTAAAACCCAGCTGCTTGCATTAATTGGATGGCATGGAGCCGTCATACACTCACTAAAATGGGAGCGGATATCTAGTACGTAGTCATCCAGAAAAAAAATGCATCTCTCACTCTCTCAGGTGGTCTGCAAGATAGTGACTAACTTTAATATACTAACTCTGCAGATGTATGGCAAGAAATATCTTTAGCAAAAAAAAAAAAATACTAGAAATAAATACCTTTCAACACAACCTTTCGCCCAAGTCAAAGGAAACCGAGTGATTCAGATTTTAAATTGGATGGTACTTTTGGGGATAAAAGAAAAGTTCTGAAGTTTTAAAAACCAATGCCTAAGACAATTAATTGGGGAATCTACCTTACGAATATTGTTATAATGTTATTTGAATTGCAATTTTGAACTATTAAATGCTTGTTTAGTACGTACAATCATTACTATAAAAAAACTTTGTAGAAACGCCTCATTTTTTCAATTGGGGAGGCTCAATCTAAATAAACCGACTCTAGAACTAGTTCTCAAAATGAACCGTGTCTAGAAATGCATTTGTAGGAACGGCTGATATTTTCAACCGCCTCTACAAATACTTCTATTTTTAGATGTGGTTTTGGTTTTAGATCCAGTCGCTTATATAAATAGATTTTTAAAGACGGCTGGATTAGAGCTGTCTTTAAAAATGGACGTCGCACACTTAAATTTATTTTTTAAACAATATCGGATAAAGACAAACTTTAAATTAAATCTAAGTAAGGATATCTACTTAAGTCGTAAGGAAAGTGATAGTGCCCATGCTCATGTATCTACGCCGCGTGTTTCACATGGTCACAGACACAACCAACCATGCCAAGAAACGTACTACACATATAGTAAGAAAATTAAATGCCCAGCTGCTTGCATTGGACGGCATGGAGCCGTGTCGTCATACACTCATACTAAGTCCTTGTTTAGTTGGCGAAACATCACATCAAATCTTGCGATACGTGCATGGAACATTAAATGTAGACGAAAAAAAAGCTAATTGTACAGTTTGGTTGGAAATTGCGAGACGAACGTTTTGAGCCTAATTAGTCCATGATTGAACACTAATTGCCAAATAAAAACGAAAGTGCTACGGTAGCCAAATTTTCAACTTTTCACCAACTAAACACGGGCTAAAATGGGAGCAGAAATCCAGTTGTCATCCAGAAAAAATATGCATGCCTCATTCTCTCAGGTGTCCGCAAGATAGTGAGTTAGTTTCAAATACTCAACCTGTTCATTTGTTGGTTTCAGCCAGAGCTTATCAGCCAGCCAACAATGTTTTCCTCTCACAACAAACCAGCACCAGCCAGCCCAGAAACCAACCAGCGAACAGGCCGACTAACTCCCCAAATGTGGCAAGAAATACTTGAAATAAATATCTTTAGACACAATCTTTAGGTCAAGTCAAAAGAAACCGGGTGCTTCAGATTTTTGGATGGTACTTGCACTGTGCCAACTGCACAAAGAACAATTCTGAAGTTTTAAAAACCAATGCCTAAGACAATTAATTGGGAAATCTACCGTACGAACGTTGTTATAATGTTATTTGAATTGCAATTTTGAACTATTAAATGCTTGTATAGTAGTACAATAAAGATAGGTGGTTTATTTCTTTAACAAATATAATGGTATGCGTGACTAATTGAGCAAAAAGCAAAGTAAAATGGTACTTTGGTTTGTTTTTGCATAATGGCACAATGGTGGTAGCAACATGTATAGGGTTATTTTTTGTTTTCATTTATTTCGAATTAATTTGACAACTTCTAAGCCTTCCAAGGTCCCAAAGCGAACATGAAGGTTTCTTTATTATGGTACTAGATGTACCATGGGAGTAAAGACAAAAAAAAGATGTCTGGGCTAGATGCCAAATAATGGCACTCATCATGCTTTAGTTGATCAATTAATCAAAGGTTTCCCGTTCAATAATTCCTTGGCATTGTATATATGAGTTTATCGCAACTTGGACGGGACGAAGTGCCTATATAACTATACCCTCTTATGCATCCGAACAAGTAGATCGATCACATGCACCATTTTCCTCTTGTTCAAGAATAATATAGCTTTTGATGGGTTCTTTGAAGGAACCAGATCTGAATAATCATCGAATGGGCAGTCGTCGTGAAGGCGGGAATGCAACCATTTTGGGAGTCGGCAAAGCTGTTCCATTGCACGAGTTTCAACAGAATTCATTCTCTGATTACTATTTTGAGATTAGCAGAAGCAATCACATGGTGGATTTGAAGGCAAAGTTTGCAAACATTTGTAAGTCCATGCATGTACAAATGATTGTTCTTTGTAAAACTACCTTTATTATTGTGTGTAATACTATAGACGATATCTGCTGAATTTGGAACTTGGGAAAGTTGCGTTTAATTCTGTTATTAATTAGGCAATTCATCCAGACAAAACCTCACTATTAATCTGTGATAGTACAATAATTTTAATTTTGTTTCTAGTGAATGATAAATAAACAAGTAATAACATATATATAGTATTAACTATCAGTTAATTGTTGTGCTGATGCATGCATTTCTGCTTTAATTTAACCTGCACTCCTGCAGTCCTGCACTAGCACTAATACGTAAAGCACATGATGAATTTCAGGTGAGAAGACCATGATCGAGAAGCGACACTTTTACATGTCCGACGAAATGTTGAGGGAAAGCCCGTCCATCACGGCGTACTGCTCCCCTTCCCTCACCCGCCGGCAGGAGCTCGCCGATGTGGGCGTACCCGAGCTCGGCGTGGAGGCGGCACGCAAGGCCATGAGTGACTGGGGCAAGGAGGCCTCCGACATCACCCATCTCGTGGCCAGCACGTCAAGCAGCGGCTGCATGCCTGGCGCAGACTGTGTGCTCGCCAGGCTCCTCGGCCTCAGGCCATCGACCAAGCGCTTTATGCTGTACCAGACCGGCTGCCACGGTGGCTGCACCGCCCTTCACCTATCCAAGGACCTTGCGGAGAACAACCCCGGCGCCCGGGTGCTTGTGGTATGCACCGAGGTGTGCACCCTGTCGCTTCGAGGCCCCTCGGCGTCCCACATGGGGGACCTCGTCGGCCAGGCCATCTTGGGTGACGCCGCCGGTGCTGTTGTGGTGGGCTGCAACCCCACCGCCGAAGAGCACGCCATGTTTGAGCTTGTGATGGCGTGTCAAGAGACCGTGCCGGGGACGGAGGAGGCCTTGGTGTCCAAGCTCCGGGAGGAAGGGATAGTGTACACCCTGGACCGAGACATACCCCGGCATGTGTCCGGTTCCGTGGAGAGGTTGGTGGAGCTTGTGCTGCAGGAGGCCACGGTGCCCGTTCCAGACTTGAACGAGGAGGTCTTCTGGGTGGTGCATCCAGGTGGACGGGGCATACTGGACAGGATTGAGAGCAAGCTGGGGCTGGGGGAGAAGAAGCTGGCGGCGTCAAGGGCCGTGATGAGGCAATATGGCAACACAAGGTGTTCCTCTGTCATCCTAGTTTTGGAAGAGATGCGGCGGATGTCGGAGCAGCTGGGTCTGCGCACGGTGGGTGAAGGCCTCGACTGGGGACTCCTCGTTGGCTATGGCCCAGGCATCACCGTCGAAGCTATCATACTCCACGCGCTGCCAAACAAATTGAAACCATAGCATATTTGTTGTAAACATACGGACTCTATCTTAAAAGGAAAGGAGAAGATGGAATTCTAATAGTAGTCCGTTTGTATGTGGATTCTTATCAAATTCTTAGGTCTTGGTACCACTATATATATGTGGGAGCTCTATTTTGTAATCACCAATATTTAGAGAAATAAAGAATAGTCTCTCTATCTCTTGTGTCTATATGTTCTACTTTTATCTACTATGTTGGTCATGAGAGACGGAGAGGAAAGATCCTAACCACTGACAACATGTTTTATAACACGTTCTCAGCACGACAAGCTCTTTGTCGACATCGCCGTTAAAGCCGTCGTCGATCTTTGATACCGGCGCTCGTACCGTCGACATCCCGCCGCGACTACTTCGATGACGTCGACATCTCCGACGTTGTTAGCGGAACGGGTCTTCTACCTCTGCAACTAATCTACGCTACGTCGATATGCACAGTCGCCGTCAAGCAGACAGTTCTACGACAATACCAAACGCCCTACGCGGTATGTATCTGCTAATCATTACCCTACGCGGTATGTGAGGTAGATCAAATTGGTATCCTTAATAAGGTATGAAAGAATCGCATCTTGCAGATTGCATCGGTCCCCACCATCGGGCTATTTTCTTATTTGCATTTTTCTACATGAAGTAGATACACGTATAAGAAGTACATGCATAAGTATATACAGTTTTTGCATCTACATGAGTTGCATCTAGGGTCTAATTAAGAAGAAAAAAAACTGTAACATTATCTAGTTTTACTGGCTTGGACGCCATGAATCGAAGAGCAATGGCATGAACAAACAGAAGCCATGCAAACGCCAGCCTTCCTGCACGAAAGAAAAAGCAGCAGCTCATCAATGATCTGCCACCGTAGCTGTCCGGCCTGCGTGCCCACGTTCCACGTATTGGCCTGCGTGCCGCCACTGAGCGCCGCCACGGCCTCCCCGCCATGTGGCTTGCACACCACGAATGTATCCAGCACTCGACTCTTCCTCAGATTGCTGCGTATCGATTACCGCACGCCGCTGGCCGCTCACCTCGGACTGAATCCCGTTGATGAGGACATAGCCCGCAAGCTATAGGCAGCATCATGCGTCTGCTTGCCAACCAGCTTGCACGACTCACAATAGCCATCCATGGTTGGTACGCCGTACACCATCGGAGCCCACGTCTCCGCACCTGCCACCGTAAGATGGACCTGCACGTCTAGGCTTCGGTGCCCCGCCGCCGCCGCCGTGGTTAGCAAGAAGAAGCCGAGAAAGGCTACAGGCGGCCGTCAGGACTCAGAACTTAGGAAGACAAATGCTACGGATCAAGAAGAATTTCTAGTCTGAGATCCCCGAAGGATTTTGGACCGTGTACGAGAATATGGGTCAAATTAAATGGAATTTGGCCCCGGAAAAATTTCATAAAACCTAGCAATATTAAGAGAGAGTTCAATAAATCTGAAATTTATGAAAAAGACCTCGATTCTTGTAGAATTGATCATTGGTAAGTATTCTGGCAGAATAGTGCCTATTTTCTGGTAACTGTGAACTGATGGTGTTTTCGAATATAAACCCTTGGAAATTTTAGTTTTAAAGCAATTTTCTAATTAATTAACCTAGACCCTCTGTTTATGCATATTTACTATATTTTCTTATACCTGCATGTATACGATATTAAATTTGCAGTTTAATTGTTGTTTTGCCTAGCTTTAATTTTTCTAAATCAAATAGTAGATTAATTCTGAAAATTGCTACGTTTTGAATTTAATTCTTAAAAATGATAGTGCAATCCCATTATGAATTATAAACCATGTAATTGCAAGAATAAAATCTTGAATGATTACATTATAAACATGGTATAAGGTGCATGGGCTCTCTAAATCATGTAGACCCTAGAGTTATCACTTTGAAGAAGCTCATATTTATTTTTTCTAGCGTAATGAATTTTTGAGATGAATGAATGATTGGTATTAATTTTGAAAATTTGCATATACCATAATATTGAAAAATGCTAGGATGCTTATGAGAGTATTTTGTATAACCATCCGCTATCTTTTTGCACTTTGCCACTTGTTTACATGTAGTAAACTCACATGCACATGATGATTTCGAATATATGCATACCTTCACGAAGAAGGAATATCCTGAACTTGTCCTGAATGATAGAATTATATAGCACATGGTCATTTATTAAATTCTAGTAGGATATTCTACTACCACTGAAGTGGAGTGGACCTTAAACTTTATAGTTCCTGATATTACTCTCAAAGAATGAGTATATGACCAAGCTAAATTCTAAAGGTCTTATGGGACTCACTACATGAGAAATTCTAGAATATATCCTATATTATGATGATTGCATAATCTTAGAAATATTGGAAATTGAATTTTCAAGCTTATAAGACCATATGGGATATAAATGCTACTCTATAAACAAATACAATTAGCTTGAAGCTTTGTGTTAAAAGTCAAAGAAGACGAGATGATAAAGACGAATTTGTCTAATTCCAAAAGAAATATTTCTTGAAATAAAAGATCAAGAGCATTGAAATAATAGAAGTATCCAATATCATCCAGAATTACTCAATATCAAGTAAAAATTAAGTCAGAATTTTTAGATAACTCTATAAATCAAGATATGTGACATGCATATATTATGCTCCTAGAAGGATCGAGCAAGCATGAAGCTGCTAAATGTTAAGCATTGAAGCTAAGACACGTAAGAATAGATAGAAAATAGAACATTTAAAGTTTCTCTTGAAAAACTTAAATCATGTGCTTATAGATTTGTTGCTTTTGAAATTCATATCCTGAAGTATTGATAGTAGTGGTGGTGGTGCTTTAAGTTTTAATTCCTGTTGAATTAAGTGGATTATGTAAACTCGTAGAAGAGTTAATGGTTACTTTATTAGCTTGAAGACTAATATAAAGTTCTTAGTTGCAATTTTTACTTGCAGTAATATATGTTAATTTTGCATAGAATGAATTAGATTTATATGTTTTACATATAAACAATTGCCTATTGGCTATCTAAACAAATTTTGCATTAATTTTATCCACAAAGAAGCCTCAATTAACTATGAAGGTTATAGTTCTTTGTGCACTACTATCATGTAGGTAGAAAGAAAACTGAATTTCCTAGGAGCACATAAATAATTGGACTATACTGGCATATAAACTGATTTTAGAAGGATCTATTTAGCCAAGAAATTGTATAATCCTAAAACTAAGTATCTAATACTTTAGCCAAAAAACTAGAAGTTTATGTCCTACCCTGAATCCGTTGTTGTACACTAAATAGGATACTGGATATGTGAATTTCATGTCACAATCATTGAATACTAGAAGTATGATTGAATTCTATGAAATATTTGAAATGATTATTAATAGATGCATAAAGCTTATTACTACTTGAAGTAATTACGGCATGAAAAGGGGGAGGAATTTTGGGTAAAGGCATAATAAAATGTAGGTAATATATATTTAATAGGCATAGCCTTTCTAAATCTATCTTTACGTGCATGTATTAGGACTTGAAGTTCTAGCCGCTCCCTTCCGACCGAGTTAATTTTCTCTACATTGCACTAATTGCAAGTAAACTTGTAGCTTTGCATTCTGTTGTTATCTATTACGTTGGATTGAATATTAACATTCCATGTTACACATGAATATGTATCATTATGTTGTGCTCTCATTGAGCTGCAACTATCTCCACTCCTACATAATATTAGTATAGAAGCTATATTTGTAGCTTGTAGCTACTATATTTTCCCTCATAATTAAATTGGCTAGCTAGTACGCTAGTAGTTCTCGTTGTATTAAGAAATATTTTGCTTTCAATGCGTTGCATGCATAAGCATTATATTGGTCTATGGCCAAGTAGCCTAAGATCAGGGGGAGTTGGTTAATATGAAATTAGCTAAATGGAGAAGTGACCCAATTGATGGGATGAATGATTGTGGAATTAAGATGGTGGATAACACACTTAGATGATTTGGGATTTTTGAAGAAAAGGCATTTGAGAAATTTTGTATTAATGGCAATTAGAAATTTCTAGAAGATATTCCTTGTGATTTTGAATGTTGCGTATTTTATATATTTGAAGTGTATGGTCCATTTTTTTTAATATATGAGTGCTTGGATCAATTTTTTTGGATAAACAATAAAGAAGCTAGACAATGAAATAGTTTCTAAACTATGATATGTGCTAATCAGGGGAGAACATCACTGAGTTTGTAGGAATGTCTAACATTCTTAAGTGCAGTATATGTATTCTAGCTCGCTGCATTTAATGAATAATAACCCCCGTTTAAATTGTGTGTGAATATTTCCTATAAAACTTCATCATAGCATACATGAATGGGCCTCCACTTATAGATGGAGATACATGACTTTGAATTATTTTAAGCCCATGATAGGGGATATCTTTTGAAGTATGCTATTAAAGATCTAATATTGGCATTAGGAGGAGAGAGAGAAAACCTATTTTGAATGCCAAATATTATTTCCATAGAAGGAAAATGATCTAAAGAAAATATTCCTCGAAGCTTGAAGCAAAATAATATCATGCACTAAATCAAATAATAGTTTGACTAATGCTCTTGTGAAGCATGAAGCAAAGCATATGCCAGATATTTTTGAAAAATAAGAGTAACTTGAAGTTATAAACTAGAAATTGTGTTTACTAGTAGTAAACTAAATATTATATACTATCAAGCTAAAATCTATGTGGACGCCTGTGGATTCTAGTTTAGTGCATACTTATGAAATGAAATAAGAACAAACTCCTCCATTCTCATAAAGAAAACACCTCATGAAAAAGGTTAGGCACCTCATGAAGAGGATCATCATGAAGATGAGATCCAACACACGAAACGCGCGCATGATTAGTGTTGGATATGTAGAAGAATAAATCATCTTTTGTTTGGGAAATAATAAAGAGATATAATAATCTCACATTATGAGTATTGGGAGAAAACAATAGTTGTCGATAACGCTACCTCTATAATT